AGAAAAGATAGACTGAAGATTTAAACACAAGTCACCAGCAGGAATAAGTGAAAATGACTGCAGATAAGCGATAAGAGAACAATGATCAGTTTACAAGGGATTCAGGTATAAAAGGGCTGTTTAATAGACACTCAGAACGACAGATCGATGATGGTCTTTAGTTCGACTGGGAAGCAACTACATATCCACACATAGTCACGTGGGAAACTAGCACGTGATCGTAGTCCAAATTTGTACTACAGAAAGAGCGGCAATCCTCCACACATACCCTCTAACGATGGCTTACAAGAATATGACGTGTGTGTCTATCGGTGGTCTGATGTCGGTGGACGCCATGTGAGACAGCATCTCTGTTTATGCTTAAAGTTAGTCCTGACCAGAAACAAATGACTGCCAGAACAACAGCTGATCACCACTTTCGATTCGCCGGCATGAGACTCCATAAATTCCTCCGAGATGCCTTCCTGATTGCCTCACCTTCCCTGTTTGAGCATTAAAGTCACTTGCCATTATGATTACATCTGACCATGCTTTCTGTAGAAAAATTGACAGCTTCTCATAGAACTCATCTGAACTACAGTCGATGGGTGCGTAGGCGATTACGAATGGGCATCGGTTGGTTTCCTGACGCTTCCTAGTTTTTACAGATCTATTCAGTCAGAAAGCACAGACGGGTGTTGACTCGTATCCGGTCGAGAAGTGTGCTTTTTGCTCTCCAGCTTAGTGCTACGACTACACCGGCAAGTGCCGAAGCGCTCACCATCGTGTCTCCGGATACTCGTAACGTGAATTTTGAAGATTCACAACTATGGTCAGGTGAGGTCGAACAACACAAACGGCTGTTGACTGGTTTCCAGTCGAGGAGAGCACTTTCTGCTCTGTAACAAACAAAACTATATGCCTACATCAGTGAGTCCACGACAGCTAGCCACTGGGTCTCCAGATACTTGTAGGGTGAATTTTGAAGATCCTCTACTGTGACCACACTCGAGTCTTATATACGTGTCTCAAAGACACAGATACATTCATGGATAGAGATTGCAGAGTCCGGGCGAGCGATACATGCTGTCCGATTTGGCTTCGCTTCGGACGTTGAAAGTTCCAATCTGGAATCGATGGTCGATGGTCGTCTTAGGAGACTAGGAATGAGGTTTCGATGGCTTTGATCGTTGCCAATGGTTGCAGTGAAAGGTTGAGTAAGGTGTAAGAGGTCCAATATTAGTATCGGGAGAAGGCACAGGAATAGACAGGGTTAAGGAAGGTAGGTTATATTTGACGGTGTCCCGTGTTCGACCGAAAGCAATATGGGGGTCGACACTTCCCGGCTACCCATGCCGTTGTTACTTTCTTCTTAAGGTTTCTAAAAGCGAAAAGACTTGTAAGACCACAGAGCTCATGGGACATCTGCTTGAGGTTTGTCACACGCAATCTTTTGTGGGTTGTTGTTTCGACGTTTAGTTGCTCTAACACCGGATAGACGGAACCCATACAGCAGGAACCGGAAGACCGTGGGGGAGGGTAAAGTGTGTTATTTTTTTCCGCCAACCTCTTTTAACTCTTTTTACCGTTGGGAAGGCAGTATCAGCATGTCACTGATGGCCATCCAAAGGAAACACTCTACTGATATCACACCCCATCCAGCTAGCAGCAGTACAATCTCGCCTTTAGACAACCATCATAATGTAGTAACTTATACTACGACGGTAATTGCTGTTCACCTTACCACTGGCCAGCAGTCCTTTCTGGCATGGTAGGATCTCGATTGAACAAGCGTTCCACTGCCATAGGTCGTTGGGTCATTGCAACATGCAAGGCCGACCACCATGTCACGGTAGCAGTTATCTGTTAAGAGGACTGTTAGTGTAAGTTATTCACCTAAAGACCCGAATTCGCAGTAAGGAAATAGTCTAACTCCCAAAAATGTGGTCAGCGAGCAATCCAAAAGCTTGGAAAAACGCACAACATTTAATTGACAGCTGCATTTGGCAATAGTTGGAAGCTGCTCCAGCTTGTTCGAGACACTGTTGTCAGGTAAATAGTCTGTAAGGTAAGTGATATGCCGATAAATAATCTTCAAAGATGTCTGGAACACTAAGCGGAGGACTTCAGAAAGCAGATCAGCTAGCTCATTGCTCCAGCATCCTCAGTTCCATGGTTGGTTAACAGTGACCCACTTTCCATAAGGAACTTAAACTTCTGAAACGCCACAAGGTACTCAACCCCGACAACTTACCTCCGACTATTGTTACGGAACTGATAACATTGTTTTAGAGTGTCTCATCAATGCGGCATACATTTTTAAAAAAATCTCTACTTACACATGCGACAATGACTAGCGTGATAATCTCATACCATTCAGGTCGAAAATTTAGCCTATTTGAATTAAAACTAAAACATGGCATCAGTCCACGAAGTCTTTGACTGTTGGTCTAAGTCATAATTGGAAATGTAAACTTCCCGGTAGGAGTCCACGTGACAACCCGAATCGGTTGCTGGAAACTCTATGCCATATGGTCCAGGAACGATCTCAGAAGCACAAACGCACCAATACATTATCTTCACTTAATCGTTCTGCTGAATTTCGTTACTACTTCATCTGTTCTTTTCTTCTCTTTTTTTTAGGACCTTCTACTACTTGGACTACTTCCCTGCTAACATCTTTAGTCTTGATGTCTTCTACCTTGTTGCGTTGATATAAAATGTGGAAAAATTGGACTGTTACATAGTACTGTTAGGTCCAAGGCTGATGCTCACTCACTTATTGAATATTTATACATAACGAAAACTAATACAGTGTCTGATTTGATCAAATCTTGCATGTCTCAACTGACAGGGTTCGCCAAGAAACTGTTCTTAAGTATTGCATGTTCTTTTCATTACCCCAATGCAAAGTACTTTGACAATATTAGTAGGAACCTTTACCTACACCTACCTTTAGATCTGAATCACTGCAACCAACCAGAAAGTCTAAGTAACTGGAAAGTTATGTGAGTGATGGTAGAGGTGCAACAGATATTTCAAATTGACCGGCATCTCCTTGAGACACTTATGATGCTGTTGTGACTTTATTTTGACCTCTAAGATTTGGATATACAAAGAACTGGTAACGGAATTCCTGCTTTACACCACACTTAACCAAGCTGTAGTTCATTCTGAATCTGTTGGCATCTGTCAGTACATGGCACTTAACAAATGAAGTCACTCAGGTAGCTTTTACGTCTCTTTCCGGTACCGGCCAACCATGGAACTAGTTGAAAGAACTGGAGAGGTGATCGGCTTATGAAGTCTCACCATCAGATGAAAGACAGGTTGTGGATTAGCATCAGAACTTCCTGAGTTAAATCAAGGAAGGGAAGCTGTGACGATTACGCTGCAAATACCTTACCCCCTCCATTTTAAAGATTAACTGAGAAGCAGCGGAAGATTCTCAGATGTGTTTTATGAAATTGATTCTCTAAGCACACTTATATTTTTATGTATTTCTGTTTCCTTTCAAGTGATGTTATCTGTATGATACATCTAATGATGCCAGTGTTTTAAAGAGTTGTGGTTAATTAAATGAATAAATTACCAATAGAATAGCAGAGTAATCTCTTCAAAAATTATTCTATGAATTATTGGAAGACAGGAGCACTAATTTAAATATGAATATAATCAACCTATGCAAATTTGAACCCCAGATTCATATATTGTGACCAGTGTGTCATCTTGAAACCATAGTCAGTCATAAATTGTTTCGAGTTAGATAACTGATAACTACTTAGTTCTAACCTGCAAGCGTAACCGCGGCAACCTCCTGGAAAGTGACAGTGAATAATTTACCAATAAGACAAGCGCTCAAACAACAACTTCCGAATCATATGTCCAATTCAGTGTTTGAAAGACATAAACATAATTACTAACTTATTGACATGCTTATAATTCTCCGTTGTTGACGAGTCCTAAATACGACAAAATGCGCGTCCTGGATTCTTCTGTTGTCTAAAACCAAGTAAATCACCATAATTAACACTCAAGCAATATCGAGGCAACCGCATAGGAGCCCACGCGCCAATATAGGTCGAACAATTCGATCTAGTAAAACAACGGAGAATTACAACCATATCAATAAATTAGTAATAACTAATGCCCACTGTATAATAGATGCGTATCGCGCTTCCGGGGTCTAGTGGATAACGCCTTGGTGTTTGAAGCCATGGGTACGAGGTTCGACTCTCAGTGAGAACCACTTACTTTAAGCTTAACCTTTGAAAGTAGTCATAAGTACACAAAGCTATGAAGTTTCAAAGCTGACAAAGGTACTTCTTAGTAGGCTCTTTGATGCATATTACTTTTCCAGGTTATCAATCAGCGACAAGAGTTTTATCCCAATGAAAAAAAGCTCCAAAAGCCACCAATCTGAATAAACATTTATTAAACAAGGAACTAAGTAACTAAATTTTATTACCTGTTCTTATCTAAGACAAGAAGTTGGAGGACAAGAAGGAAACCACTCACAGTTGCTCAAAACTAACTGATGCATTTCTGTGTAAGCAAGTGTTCAGACCAACGAAACTAACGTTTATCAATGTGACTAGATCGTACCAGTAAACGTCAAACTATTGAGTTTATACTCAAGTGCAAATTTGTGATTAACAGATCAGAAATAAACATGAAACCAAAAATTCAGGAAGTATTTTAAAAATAAGATCCACACATTAACTTTACAGAGATAATAAAACCTAAAAAAGCATAACTAACGTGTACTCACCGTCGGAGGTGGTTTTCCAAGGTATGCTGTGTTTTATGCCCCTGACCACATACAGGACAAGTATAGGTTGATGTACTTGACAAATGCTCAGAAACGTTCACTGTAAGGGGGACATGAAACTGACCCATCAGTTCATCTCCATATAGTAGTGTTGAACTTAGTGCACTGTCACAACTCTCCAATCTTTCAGGACGTGTTCTCCGAGGGGCATTAACTGGATCAATATTAACTAATTTCTGATGACCTTGCTCTAGATGCCGTAATAATTGGAGGGCGGATGTAGGAACATAAGGACATTTATTATCATGACAGTAATTCCATATCTTTTCCAGCGAGAATGACGCGCTTTTGGTTTCCATTCCAAGTGCGAAATATTAACAGAATCAACAGTCGATTTATTTGCAGTCGGATGAGTTTGCTTCTCTTCAATACGTCTGCGCTTACGACGGTTGCAAAGTAATGACTGAGCAGAATTAACTTCGTCAGCGACTGCCGATTCGTACTGGGAGCGTACAAGCGCTGAACCTAAGACGTGAGGAACATAATTAGCTACGTTTAAAAAAAGTATCTTTTAATAAGTGTTCAATGTTAATTACATAACGAATGTTTACTAGACTCAACGCCATTGCATAGTATAGCTGACCGATAAGTCATGCTTCCAGAGAAACTCAAAACGTCCAACCAAACAGATTTCGTTGCGTAGTTACACTTAGAATTGATAGATTTCTATCCACACAACCATCTTGCTTTTTAATCACATTTGATATACAAACATGCATAAATTCATAGTGCGATTATTCATACTTATTCATAATAAAAACTTACCAACTTTAGGTGTTTGGAGACAAATGGTGTGCCGTGAAAACCAGCTAGATAATTCCTAGTAAACACCAAAAGAGTATCTACAGTCTTGATTAGGCATGTGACACAACCAGGAATTACACTATTCAGTTTCGTAATTAAGGCCGTTGTCGTAAAGATATGAAGATAAAACATATTTTTTTTCAGTAAAGCATTGAATGACATTGGTGTACGTCTGTGAGGAAGGAGTACATGTTTGCAGTGAATGTAATCTCTAAATAGTCAAAACCTGAAACATCACATTCAACGTGACGTCAGGAAAAAGTTTACAATTAAGAAGAATAATGTGTTCAAGATATTACAAAATGCTAACAATTCCAAATCAATAAGAAAAGAGTGGAGTTGTGACTCAATGACTTGAGTATTAGAACCTCAAACAATAAGTCCCGAGTTCGAACCTCATCACAACTACTTCCGCCTGGCCCGACCGATAGCTGCTACCTTGACGTGGTGGTCGGGCTTGCATATCACAATGACCCAACGAGCTATGCTGGTGGAACGCTTGTTCCCTCGAGGTCCTACCATACCAGAAAGGTCTGTTGGGTAGTGGTTAGACGAAAAGCAGTTACCGTCATAGTGTAAATTGCTACACTATGATGGGGGTCTGAGGGCGAAGTCGTACTGCTGCTAGCTGGATGGGGTGTGACAGCAGTAAGGTGTTTCCCTTGGATGACCAGCAGTGCCAAGCTGATGCTGCCTTCTCAGTGGAAGGGGGGGTTAGAAAAGGTCGGCCCCAAAAATAACACACTCCACCACGCCCCACGGTCTGCCGGGCCGGCGGTGTTGGTTCACTTGTCGTTTCCTTTCGCTCATCCGGCCCCAAAAATTCAAAATAATCATACTCAAAAGGCTGGGTGTGACAGGCCTCAAGCAGATGTCCGATGGGCTCTGCGGTCACACAAATCTCTTTCAGGTACCTTAAGAAGAAATAGCCTTCCACGGTGTGGGCAGCCGGGAAGTGTCAACCGCCCTCACAACTCTGTCAGCACCCAAGTTTCTTCTGACTGCTATCCTCCTCCTCCATCATTACCTTCTAATCTTCCTTCACGTCTCTTAATTAATGATGCTGCATCATCTTCAATTTCTCCTACCTCTGCAGCCTTCGACAACGATCTGAGTCCACAGAACAGTCCCTGGTCTCCTTAAACCACGCTCCAAATTACATATTGGAGCCTTCAATGTCCGCACCCTCCGTCAAATTGGCCAACAGGCTTCGTTGGCAAAGACTCTAGCAACTCGGGCATGGATGTGTGCTGTGTTTGTGAGACACGCATACAGGACCCAAGTGTGGTTATTCACCTGACCTCTCCTGACCAATCTGGTGAATCTGCAAAATTCACCCTTCGAGTTTCTGGAGATTCGATAGCTAGCTCTCGTGGTCTTGCAGGTGTAGGTATAGCATTAAGCACCAGGGCAGAAAACTCACTACTAGACTGGATCCCAGTTGATAGTCGCCTCTGCGCTATGAGGCTGAACGGCACAGTGAGAACTAAAAGGAATAGTGAGACTCGCCGTTGTCTCTTTGTAATCTCTGCTTACGCACCCACTGACTGTAGTTCGGATGAAGTGAAGGACGAGTTCTACCATAAACTGTCTAACCTCCTCTCGAAAGCCAAACGTTCGGACGTAGTGGTTGTTGCAGGTGACCTCAACGCACAGGTGGGTAGACTGAGTGAGGCAGAAAGGCACTTAGGTGGCACTTTCGGAATCCCAGCTGAACGTACAGATAACGGTGATCGCCTATTACAACTATGCTCAGATAACCGCCTATTTTTAGCCAGCACAAATTTCAGACATAAAGAAAGGCACTGTCTGACCTGGCGTCCACCGAGCTCGACTCAGCGATGGACACAGATAGACCACATTGCTATTAGTCATCGCTGGAGAGGATCGGTGGAAGACTGCCGCTCCTTCTGGAGTACGTGTTTGGACAGCGATCATGCGTTGGTCCGAGCACGTATATGCCTGCGTCTCAATGGACGTAGAAAAAATTTGGCAACAAAACCACTACGAGTTCTGCTGGACAACGAAAACACCAAAGCCGTGTTCAGTGAGAAGTTGGCTAGGCAGTTATCGGAACAAAAGACTGTCACTCATCCAGAAGAAGCTTGGTGCCATCTTCAGTCTACTGTAAAAGCAGCACTGGAGACTGTAGCCGACTCCAAGATAATGGCTAAAAAGAGCCAGTGGATATCAGCAGCTTCTTCCAAACTAATGGATGCACGTGAATGCATCCCTGCAGGCTCTGAGTACAATGAAGAGCGAGCGCAACTTAAAAATAAACTGACGAAAAGTCTGCGCAACGATCGTGAACAGTGGTGGGCAGCAAAGGCTAAAGAGATGGAAAAGGCAGCGGCGATCGGTAACAGTAGACAGTTATTTAGACTTATTAAGGAGACTGGGGGGAAATGGTCAACAACAGTTAGTGAGGTTATAGCGGAGAAGGACGGATCGGCGATTCACTCGCAGGGAAGGCGACTGGGACGATGGGCAGAACACTTTGAGGAACAGTTTAACTGGCCTCCAGCCACCATTGCGCTGCCCGCTATCCAGTCGGACCCTGAATGGGACATAGAGACAGGTCCCCCAACACTAGAAGAAGTTGAGAAAGCGGTAGGTAGCCTGAAACGGGGAAGGGCAGCAGGACCAGACGGACTACCTGCTGAGGTATACAAGAATGGTGGTAGAGTTCTCTTAGTCAGGCTAACGGAAGTGTTAGCCAGTATATGGGAATCAAATACGATCCCCTCCGACTGGTCTAAGTCACTGATCATCCCAGTCTTCAAGAAAGGCGAGAAGTCCTCTTGTGATAACCACAGAGGAATCAGCCTGACAAACATAGTGTCTAAGATCCTAAGTTCTATAATTCTCCGACGCCTGAGTGGAGCTCGGGAACAGCAAGCCCGAGAAAACCAGGCAGGCTTTAGACCTGGCCGTGGATGTATCGACCAAATATTCACACTGCGCCAGGTCCTGGAACATAGGCATGCTTACAGACGCCCGACAATAGCTGTATTTCTCGACCTGAAGGCGGCATTTGACTCCGTTGATCGAGAAGTCTTATGGCAGTGTCTGTCACTGAAAGGCGTGCCTAGTAAGTACATCACCTTATTGAAAGCTCTCTACTCGAACACTTGTGGGCATGTTAGAGCCTATGGTGAGTTGTCCAGGGAGCTATACTCATCAAGTGGTGTCCGTCAAGGATGCCCACTATCCCCATTCTTATTTAATTTTATCATAGATATTCTTATGGAGGTTTCCCTCTCGTCACCTAATTACAAAGACGTTGACCGGATCACAGGTGAATTTTCCTTAGATCTAGAATATGCAGATGACATAGTCCTGTTAGGTGAAGACGCTGACAAGATGCAGAGTCTTCTGAACACTTTGAGTGGGAATTTGAGAATGTTTGGGATGCGATTTTCACCACCCAAATGCAAATTTTTGCTCCAGGACTGGTCTTCAGCGGTACCGCGGTTAACAATAGAGAGTGAAGTGGTTGAGTGTGTTGACCACTTCACTTACCTGGGAAGTAGGATCAACCCGGTGGGTTAGTTGCCGATGAGATTTCTGCACGGATACAAAAGGCTCGATTGGCTTTTGCCAATTTGCGCCACCTATGGCGCCGCCGTGATATTCGTTTGTCTATTAAGGGTCGCGTGTACTGCACAGCAGTCCGCTCTGTTCTACTGTATGGCTGTGAAACATGGCCATTGAAAGTGGAAGACATGAGAAGGTTACAGGTGTTTGACCACCGTTGCCTTCGTAGTATAGGACGTATTCCGTGGTGTCACCATGTGAGTAATGCAGAAGTTAGGTGTAGAGTTTTAGGGAGAAGAGGTAAGTCAGTCGACGAGGTTGTGAACCTTCATCGACTGAGATGGTTGGGACACGTACTACGTATGCCTAGTCACCGATTGCCTCGTCACACAATGTTGGCTGAGGTGGGTTCAGGCTGGAAAAAGGCCCGAGGTGGCCAGACTAAAACATGGCACCAATGTATGAAGTCTCTGACTGTTGGTTTAAGCCATGTAGGACGATGCAGACTAGGTGGTTGGGGTCCACGGGACAAGAGGAACCAGTGGTTGGAGACCCTAGGTGATATGGCTCAGAACCGAAGTCAGTGGCGCAGATGTATACACACATTATCCTCATCTTAACAACGCTATACCGAATCTCACTATTTTGTCACTCCTCTTTCCTTTCTTCTCATACTTTATATTTCTTTTGACTGCATTCACTTATCTTCATCCTTCACCTCACTACCTTTTTACTTGATGTGCTGATATGAGGTGTGGCAACTCGGACCGTTACGCAGTAATGCCTGGTCCTATGTTGATAATGATGATGATGATGACTTCCGCCTGGGCAACCAGGTAACATGAAAAAACCCACATATTAAGTGCGTCACAGCCTAGAACACAAAACTGTATAAAGTAGATGAGTCATACTTATTTAGTTTTGACACGGAAAATAAGAGTGCCTTACCTATGCGAAGTAAAAATTGCACAGTAGGACGTAAATTTCCCTTCTCGTTAACGTCAAAACCAGATTGACACGGTCCAGACGGAAGTGTATCAGCATTTATAGGTGTTCGAGGAATTGTATGAGATGGTAACAAAACTCGTCGATGTGTAACTCGTAAATGATTTCGAGGAACAACAGAGTTGGCATACAGCACACGATGGTTCCTGAACATGTTTAAATCCTGGTTCCCTGACTCAATATCCCCATAATGAACAACATCCTTTTCATTAAAGTCATTCGGTTCAGTCACTTCCGAATTCACAACTGAAGAATTTTGACTTAATCTTGGGGCGATTGTTCTAAACGATGACGACGACGATGCACATTTAATCACCTGTTTCTGAAAAATATTAATCATATATATATATATATATATATATATATATATATATATATATATATATATATATATATATATATATATATGAAACCATCAACAATTCAGATTTAGGTGCAATTTTGTAGCGACTAATGTATATTTTACATTTTTTTTAAGGATTTATAGGCCCAGTCTACTCTCTAGTCACATTTAAACTAAGTAGAAATGATGTCAAGGTTGGTTACGCCACGTTCATATTCACCTGAATCTGTTCCAAATAAGACTGCCAGTGACTATTGTGGATGCTTATCTATGTATACACAGTAATTGTGCGCTCTGAGAAAGCTATCCAGGCACATATCTCATGATACTTACTGCAAGTTAGTAGAAAATACGGCAGATGGGTGCAGTAAAAGTGGCCCAAGGACTTCCTTACCACTTATTCGGTTAAGGAACAATACAACTCACCACCGCGCCTGTGTGCAAACTTGATACCACACCTGTCCAGACCAAGGCATATGGAGCAAAATTAAAACCATTTTCCTACGACTGGTATTCAAGAGGACAAACTAGTCTTGAGTTCACTGGTTAGTACAGCTTAGTGGACAGTACACAACAGACTAAGTGACGAGCATGCCAACCTATAAGCAGTAAACAGACTTCCTCTGGCTTATCATATTGAAGCTTTTGAAAATAAACAGGTATTCATATCAAAACACCACTTATTATATCACATGCATTCAAATCCACATTACGAGCCAAAATAAGAGTAAATGGCAATAAGTTCGAACAGAAGCTAAGCACTACACGAAACAATCTGGACAAAAACTATGAACTCTGTTCTATACAAATATTAGCCGATGCTACGTGAAAGACTACAACTAATCTGAATAAACTTTGGAAAATAATAGAAATTTGTCGTAAGAGAAATGATGTAACCAAATTTTATACTACTAGTAATTTTCAAGTATAGTGTTCAAGTGGATAACAAGTGAAAACTATTTCAAACTGTTAAAACTAGTTCGAGTCAAAACTGAATCGAAAAATCTTGTAAATTATGCACCTGCAAAACAAAAAGACCAGCATTATTAACCACTGCATTTTATGATTGACAGTTTGTTAGACAAAATCGACGGGCGACTTCGAACGTAACTCCCTTGATAAAATCAAGGCACAGAGAAGCCGAATGTCAACAATGATGGACCAACAAGAACGTTCGAACCATACTAGAATCTACCGAATAAGTAGTCATAAAAAACTTCGTTTTACAACGATGTGTCGAGCTTAAATCGCAATGAGAACAAAACTAGAACCTAAGCTAAATACAAAGAAAAGAACGTGCACTCAGAAATCAACTTTCATTCGTCGATAATCAAGGTCGAAGTATACCATGATATGAGTTTCGATAACCAGCTACTACTTAAATGACATTCAAATAAACAAATTATCTTTACTGTATATAATTAAAGAAACTACCGTATTGGATTCCGAATTAGACTTATTAGGACTGATGATAGAAACAGGTGCATGTGTTTTCGGAAGAATAAGTCGCCTGGAGTTGGTTGACGCCATCCTGCAATGAGAAAAACAATGAACCCATGACAGTGAGAAGGACTAATGTGCGAAAACTGTACTTACTGTTCACCTGACAAGCAATGTATATATACCAAAGAAAAATTTAGAAGCTTGTGCAACGCTAATTTCCGAAGACCGTCAGCAAAAAACGTAGTTTAAGTGGAATCATGAATATGTACATATGCACATGCATATACATACCCGATCACCATTTTGTGAGAATTAGGAAAATTAATGTAAAAGCTTTGAGGAAATTCTAGGGAAATGCTACAATTTGCAAGCACCTTACCCAGTGCTTCCTTCCGCAGAATTACTCCAAAATCTGACACGCACGCTCCCCCCCCCCCCCTCACACACACACATACACGGAAATACCCTAAAATGAATGCCTTTACTCCCAGAACTTCACCAGTACCAATCTCACTTCCCCAGAATTTCCCACTAAATTATCTCTTTAGGTATTTATATGCAATAAAGGTCACCGGAAAGGTACATTCACCCATTTCTCATATTCAACATTCGAAAAAACGAGCGGACAGCCGGAAAGAAGATAAGAATAAACGATGACATTATAGAATATACTTGAAAGGTTACAAAATTTAGCACTTTACGTATCTAACTAAAATATCGACCATTACAAATCAATTGGATTAGAATATCATTAGAAGCAAGTGTAGTTTTTAGTATCATTGTGAACAAAATACCAATTTATGTTAAATCAATAAATATACACCTGTGGGATTATCGTACTCATAATACGCGCTCAATTGTAATAAATACTTTGAGCGGAAAACGACAGTACCGCATCCAATATCCAATATCCTTTTTTACGAGCTAGTGTAAACCAAGTGATTTTTTCGCGCTCACTTCTAGATTTTCAGGAACGGTTTCAGGTTTCCAGTGAATTTCGATGCAGTAAGTTTATTCAATCGCCAGCTGTAGCACAGATAAGCCCGTTGATTAAAAGAAGTCTTGTGCGGTGGAAGATTGTGGTTAGCGCGAAAATATCCATGTTAAAATGCCATTTTCATTATTTTTCAAAAACTTAAATCCCAAATATTCCTCAGTGATGCATTTGTTTATGTATATTCCAACTAGCCATTGTTTAAAATGGCCAACCTTGCTGCCTGGCGCCTAACGCCCATGCACACTTCCGGGACATGAATTAAAACAATTAGTTTCATGTTTTGCAAAACAAGTAATTGACACTACAAAACTGACTTTACACCCCATGACTAGCATGCCTTTAAATATTGTCATATAGCAGTTGCTCTTCTGAGGAATGAAGTGCCTCTCTGTGAGACAAACAATGCATTGGTATCAAAATGAACCTAAACAGTATAGGTCTTCCAGTATTAAGTCTCAACCCCCACGCCACGGTGCACCATAGATAGACATCAACTGCTTATGCTGATAGGCCAACCACTGTGTATGCACCTTTCTTCACATTTATGCTATTCAGTGGTTCACACGCCTGGTAATTTCAGACCACCCATCAATTGTGTCCAACACAATTAAGGCATAAATGTAGAGTCCGCATATGCTTCAGCAAACTTGCAAACTCAGCGAGAAGGATATAGGATCTCGTGGAAACTATGATTCATCAACAGCATTGGCAGGTAAACTATATTCCATGTTGTTTGCTGCCGCCAGTGACCTAAACAAACCGGACCAAGTAATATCATACGGTTAGGCATAAGTGCAGTTTTTTCGCCTCTGGTTACCCATCGTTGTCAGAACATGGTCACTTACTAACCAGTCGACTGGTCTATATGCGCCGGAATGTGAGAATTCTCAGAAATTATTCCACTCCTGGGTAGTAAACCATATTTTACGTTTTGTTCAGGGATTTCGGTCAAACACAAAAACGATTCTGCCAACAGATATGGCGCGGATATGCAAACTGATTTTCAGAACTAGAACTAAATCTTTTCCATCGTAGCTGCCACATAGGGCGTAACCTGAGCTTGTGAATGCTTGAGCTTCTGAAAACCTGACATTCCATGCCAGCCAAATATCAGAGGAGAATAAACTTCTTCAATCCGGAATTAAACTAGCATTTTGAGGTTAACTGTCCTTCAGTGCCTCGTGTCACCATAGCCGCCCGTATGACCAGGTAATACATGAAGCTACCAAAAAGCTTACGACCTCAATGTGGACTGCAGAACGTCCAGGAGTGACCCTACATGAACTCGACGATGGAGACCATGGATTATAGTCTTAACCTTCTGAACACGTGGTGAACATCTCACAAGATGGCTAATATCCCACCAATATTTTCACGCTTTTTTTTATCCCCTCAAAAATGCAAAACGATCCTTTCCTCAATCAGTTGGTGCTTGCTTGGAAACTACTCTTAACCTGTTGGAGAGTTGACTTTATATTCAATTTGATTTTTGGATATTTATTCGGCGAGCTTTCAACACCGATATACAAGCACCCTGGCCTGCGCGGGTTGCTGGCAGATGACGGCAGACCATTATATATTAGTAGCCAATGCCCATCAGAGTAAAATCTTTCATAGGTTAGAAGCACCCTCATTCGAAGATTAAGTAAGAATAGCAAATTCAACTGATTCTCGACCCTGACACCATCCAATCTGTGTATGGAACCGAAAGATGAAAACCTATATTACTGGAAGCAAGGGTGAATCACACTATGCAGCAACCAGATGTTATGGGGATATTTATGGCTTAATTATTACTGTATACCAGAAAAATAGCTCCGAAAAGTAATTCAAAATACCCAACAAGACAATGGCGGTACAAATGCATATTTCGGCGTTGTAGGCCATTACGAGGACGTCGTGCTGGTTTTAGATAGAGCACTTGTGCACCTTCCCGCGGTCCACCTTGACCAAAGTAAAGGGAGCCGCCGGGATCTCAGCCGTACTGTCTCGTCGCAACCACGAAGTGCTCCCTGGAATCCTCGTTTGAGGAATCCGACCGGTCGGTTGAGTATACTTAACAAGCAGGTTGACATAAACTCGTAGTCGTTTGCCTTATTCTTGAAGTGGCTATGAGGCACGAAAGCAAGTTGTGACCCAAGTGGTGGTAGATTTACATTTATGCAATGTTTTACAATCTAATCTCGACATGACATAGAATATCACACTTCTAGTGCTCTCATTGATCAGAAACGAACGACGTTTTAGAACACCTTGATCTCAAATTGTTGTGCATGATTTACGTTTCAAGTAGTTGTCCCTAACATGAGTCAGGCCAACCAGGTATATATTCCAGTTCCTCTCAGGCATCAATCGCCTATCCAATAAGGCGGATTCAACGGGGCTGTGCTGCTTCGAACAAACAAAAATGGGATTTTGCATCGTGCTGCGATAGCTCATCCTCAAAATAAATAACACGAACTTAACTACAAATGGCTATGGCGAAGTCAGGAACGCTGATGACGACTGTTAGGCTCAAGTTAGAGCGTGATTGTATCCCTTAGTAATTCGTGTTGATGCATTCTCGAAGAATGCCAGCACCACATTCTACACAAGCTGCAGCTTCCAGAGTTGTACGATAGGGTAATGCTTATCAAGAAACGACCGACATGTTGGGGAGTTAGTAGTAATATTTACAACTGCATTCGACGATATGCAGCTTTTTAAATCATTGGCCACACGGAGAAATTTCTAGATGCCGGCTAGAATTTGGTACTCGTGAGGATACTCGTTGAGGGTGAATAAGCGTTGGGAAGTTTGGGGGACCAGGCACCGATAATTTCTTTTCAAGGGTAATGTACTAATGTGGTTCTTTACGACGTTATCGAAATGAGAAGAAACCGAAGTAGACTTATTTGATGCTAACATCTAATCGAACTGATGGCCGCTTTTTAGTACAGTGGTTTCGGATAGGTCTCTGTGGTGAAGGACGCTCATGGTACCCACCGCACCGTCTTGTGGACCTAGATGGTATCAGTGACATTCCTGTTCACTTTAATATTGAAAGTGTGCGGGACTAACTTTTAGCGCAATTTTAACTAAACGCTCTGGTCGCTGCGTTATTTTTACTCAAGGCCATGCTTTTCCCATTCCTCATACCTGACTGCTGCGGCCCGTATTTCAGCACTTAACCTGCGTGTACTGGCCGACCCCTCTTGCGTCGTTCTACATTACTGCCCCACGCGTAGATGGATTCCGCAACACTAGTATGAATTTATATTATAAGTGGTTTATGTGGCGCAGAATGCATCGTTGTTAGCACCGAAGATGGGATCAAGCCCATGCTTTCCAAGTAAAAGTCAGCTGATCTTGAGGGGAAAATGAGTCGGTCAAAATGTTAGCATAAGAAAATTGATGTCAAGATCACTATTTTAAGGCTAGCCCACGGAGTTCCGTATGCCCAGATTTCGTTTAATGCGATAAAAATCGCCCCATTGTTAAACACATTGTGGGCAACTACATTCATTTATTTTGGGGTTACCAGTACCGTTATCGTAGGCCTTCACCGATGAGGACATTTTCGAGGTTAGCGGCAAAATAACTGTGAGACTGCAACCGAAGGACACTGCTTCTATACCGCATGCCTCAACTCTCCACAGCTTCAGAAGTGGATTTTTCAGCAGGTAAGCGGGTACCGAAGTTGTTATGACGACTGAAATAGGATTATTCTGGTCAGAAGACAGTCTCTAGTCCACGACAAGTTTTAAGTTAGCCAGAAGTACTCAACTGCGTTTTTTCTTTAAAATGCGCTTAAATTCCTTGACTTACTCCCGGGTTAAAACATATCCCACTGATAAGAGAATACAGTTGATTTAATAGTATCTGCGTTATGTCTGCATGAAACCTACGGCACGACTAACCATTACACAATATATAACAAAAGAATACCTAAACAGTGCCGCCTTAGCACCTTAAAGTCAACAATAAATTCTTTACTACAAATTACTATCCATATGACGGAAGGACTCAATTATTGATGATGAGTATATACTCACAACAAACTGAAAATACCCCCCGACAAAATAGGACCCAGGTATCTGTCTGCGGGAGT